GGTTCAATAATACAATCCCAATAATATGATCATCCCTTTCTTATTTCTCAGTTCCATCCAAATAACCGCCCTGGACATATTCCCACGAATATCCTCCGTAACTACAGCCATACTGTTATCCCTAATCAAAAACGCCACTCCCTCTTCTCTCTTGCCCCTCCTTTCTATCCTTCCTACAGTATCTATACCCTGGAACTTTAAAGCTGCCAGTCCTGTCCATCCCTGAGCCACATTTCTGTAATTGCTATGATATCCCAGTCTCATGTTCCCGACCATGCCCAGAGTTCACCTGCTTTACAGGTCATGCTTCTCGCGTTGATATAAATGCAGTTTATCAGTCCTGCCTCACCTGCTTTGTTCCTGCCTGCCCTGACTGTTTTACTCTCCCCCATCCGCTCAATTTCCTGTTAGTAAGATCAGCTCAGGCGCAAACAGTTACTACATCTCATCTTTCCATTTTTGTTCATGAATACATTCAATGAAACCTGGACATTTTCATATAACTATCTTGGTACACAATTTCACAAAACTCAAAATTTTTTGAATAGTCTCAATCTTCTTTACCTTGATCTGCACAAGAAAATCTCTCAGATGCTCTTTAAAAGCTGCAATATCCTGATTTAAACTGAAAAGCCCCGTTACAAAAAGTTTCACTTGTGCTCTGTTTAAAACAAAAGAGAAAATTCAGACGAGATCGTCAAATAATAATGGATTAAAACAAGCTATTTAAGTGAAAATCAACATACTCTTGTAGATGTGGAAAAGCAGATTTCAGTAGATTGGCCACATAATCCTGAATGAATACATGATTAGTGACAGGATTTGTCGGGTTAAGAGGCACTGATATTTTTCCTTCCTCTACCAGGTTAAACATGTATGCAAGTATTGATGCATGCATTGTCAAACCTATGAAAAAAAAGGAAATACAAAATGTTAAAACGTAACTTTCACATGAACATAGACTTTTAGATGCATTTATGCAAACATTTATCTACAATCTTGAATTTCGCAGATAGATTTGGTGAGATTAGTTTAAAAACTTTAAAATCAGTTACAAGCAATTTAAATCTAAAAATTGTAGATTGTCATACTCTCTAATGGCAGAATTAATGACTGCAGCATTCAGATTTTACTATTATATCCAGCACTAATTTCTAACCACCCATCATTATGTCCTCACTGACTCAGATTGGCTATCATCCCCCAAAGAACTAAAGTTCTAAAATTCTTCCATGGCCTTAACCCTCCTCATTTCTGTAATCTTCTCCAGCTCTAGTTTTGTTAGTATTCCTTACAGCTATAAGCTTTGCCTCTTATTAAAAGTAGCATTTTCCATTACATATACAAACCTGTATATTTATAATTTTTTGTTTATATTATAAACGTAAAAATTGGTGATTTCTTTGCAGCTACTAAGCATGTGACAACTAACCTAACTAGAAAATGGAACAATAGTTGGAACATCAAGGAGGTATTGAGGGGACCTGGTGGTGTAGTGTGGTCATCACAGAACTAGAAACTCTGCTTCTGGCTAATGCTCAAAAGAATGTAGGTTCAAATCCAACACAGGACAAATGGAATTTAAATTCAATTAATTATATCCAGTATTGAAATCCAGTCTCAGTAATAGTGACCATAAATCTAACTTTGATTGTTTAGCAAAGGACATTTGAAGCCCTTGACTGGTCTAACCTATACATAACTCAATTTTCATGCCATTTCAGGGGATAGTCACTTCTAGGACAAAGGATTGCCAGCAATACCCACATCTTGTGAAACTTTTTTTTAAAATGTCTGAAGTGTCTTGTTTTACAACATTGGAAATACTGCAAATTGCATCTTAAAAGTGACAACTTTACTGTATAGCAACTAGCAGTTTAGTTTTTACGTCCTCACTTACTTTTCATCTATAATAATGCCAGTGCACTAAACAGTCAACTTCGTAAGCAACTTGTAAAATTTGCAACTAAAATTTGACATTCCCAGTATAGCTAGTCTTTTGCAAATATTTGCTAACCTACAAGTTTATGATGTTGAATATATTTTTAATCATACATCAGAAACTGAAACACAGGAGGCCACTTCTACCTACGAGACAGGTCTGAGACATACTGATTCCAACAACCCTTTATGTTTAAAAAAAAAAATCCTTCTTGCCTCAAAGGAAGACTGGTGATTACATGACACCAAATCAATCTGTTGGATAGACCAAAGTGTTTTACACTTCAAAAAGGACATTCTCTGTTGTAATCACTATTGTAAAGTAGGAGAGTTAAGAGTCAAATTGCACAAGAGAAAATCAAACAACCTCCATGTTTCTGGTATTAACATTAATTTTAGGTCTGCTAGAGCCTTGTCATTTTATATTGTTGAGTACTTCTTTCGTATCTATCCTTAACCCTTACTGCCCCAAATTTCAAAATTACTACATCCTCGATGCTATCTTTGTGAATCTACATTTCTTTTTCATGGCCCCAGTAAGTTTGCCCAAAATGCCAGTTTTCTAGAGGTATTAATGCCATTAACAGTCTTAAACCATATTTGCTGTATAATGTTAAGTTAGAATGAACAAATGCTTTCAGAAATTTTTTGTTTATTTCACAAATTATTAATTTGCTGAAACTAAACATGAAAAAAGAAACTCGTTCATGAAAGATGAACTTAATCCAGAAGTGGTCTGTGGAGTCAAATAGCAAATTGACTACCAAATTGCTACTTGCATAATTACAATTGTAATAAGCATTTTGCAGATACTCTTATAAAGAAAGATGCTGTACTAAGCCATAAACACGAGAACTCCATGCCTTGGATTCCTGGATTATTTCAGATGGATTTTAATAGTCTTAATTATTGGGAAGCTGTAGTAAACCAAAGTAGTAATTAGGAAGGACACAAAGAATAGATTACTCAAAACAGACATTAATTACATCACCAGTCAGAAAGTTCCCCAACTCCCCACATGGATTACTTTGCAAATCAAGCTTCTATACCAACTTGTACATTCAACTTGTGACGAATATTCAGCTGATTGCAACAAAATTCTAAAACAGTGAAAAGAAAAAAATCATTGCTACTTGTGCAAAGTGCTTACCAGCAGTATGAGATGTATCTGTGACAACAGAAAATATATGCTGAAGAATATCACAAAAGTACGTCTGATAGAAACTTTGTGCAGCTGCCTCTTCTTGGGCAACATTTTGTAGCAGAGTATAAAGGATCTGCAGACCTATCATAAAAACATTTTGGTTGGAAAGAGTCAAATGGTTAGAAACAAAATTATACGTAGTAAATGTGATAAAACATAATATCAAACAAACCTGTATCAGCAACATTTCTCATGGTGTGCTTAAAAGCCCATATTATGGAATCTAAAACTAGCTTAAATTGTGCTGGAGGTATGGCTAGGAATGCTGGAAAACAATGTGAATTTACAGCTTGTAAAAGTAAGAAGAAATTTGTTCTATGTTCAGGATATTCCTCAAAGTCCTGAAATAAAAAGAAAAGAAATAATTAGACATTACTGGAATTTTACAAGCATTCAGCTGAAATTAGAACACAAACATTCTAATCTCCACAGCACCATTAGTAAAATGCCACTATACGCACGAAAATTCCAGATTACGGCTGAATTCCCTTCAATTAAAAACGTTATTATTTTTAAAGTGTTAGCCTTTGGACACAATCATATTCCAGGTCTTTCAAAGTGAAGACCTGGAAATAGGCAAAGGTTGGAAACAGGTTCTGCACAGCCAGGAACAGCAAAAAAGATATGTGAAACAGAAGAGAAGGCAGCACATAAATTTAGATATTAAACACAAAATTAAGGAAAAATATCATTTCCTGATGATGCATAACATAAAAGCTTACAAATACATTAAACTAGTTGAAAAGATTTATTCCATACCTCACCCACTTACCCCGCAACACCCTCATGTCTGCACCATCCCTGGCCTCAAACAAGTTTTTTTTGCCTTTAGGACTATGACATTGCCCAGAATGCTGAAACCAGTTGTCACATTTTATCCTATGAATCCACTCATGACAGTGGGGAAGGTCAGTGTGTGGGGAGTTATGATAATTAACCTGTTGTCCACTACTATTTAGTATAGTGTAGAAGAACTCCAATACAGTATCCTAGTATGCATTTACAAAGAACAAAGAAAATTACAGTACACGAACAGGCCCTTCGGCCCTCCAAGCCTGTGCCAATCCAGATCCTCTATCTAAACCTGTCGCCTAAACCTGTATCCCTCTGCTCCCTGCCCATTCATGTATCTGTCTAGATACATCTTAAATGACGCTATCGTGCCCGCCTCTACCGGCGTGTTCCAGACACCCACCATCCTCTGCGTAAAGAACTTTCCACGCACATCTCCCTTAAACTTTTCCCCTCTCACCTTGAAATCGTGACCCCTAGTAATTGAATCCCCCACTGAGAAAAACCTTCTAGCTATCCACCCTGTCTATACCTCTCATGATTTTGTAGACCTCAATCAGGTCCCTCCTCAACCTCCGTCTTTCTAATGGAAATAATCCTAATCTACTCAACCTCTCCTCATAGCTAGCGCCCTCCATACCAGGCAACATCCTGGTGAACCTCCTCTGCACCCTCTCCAAAGCATCCACATCCTTTTGGTAATGTGGCGACCAGAACTGTACGCAGTATTCCAAATGTGGTCGAACCAAAGTCCTATACAACTGTAACATGACCTGACAACCCTTGTACTCAATACCCCGTCTGATGAATGAAAGCATGCCATATGCCTTCTTGACCACTCTATCGACCTGCGTTGCCACCTTCAGGGTGCAATGGACCTGAACACCCAGATCTCTGTGCATCAATTTTCTCCAGGGCTTTTCCATTTACCGTATAGTTCGCTCTTGAATTGGATCTTCCAAAATACATCACCTCGCATTTGCCTGGATTGAACTCCATCTGCCATTTCTCCGCCCAACTCTCCAATCTATCTATATTCTGCTGCATTCTCCGACAGTCCCCTTCACTATCTGCTACTCCACCAATCTCAGTATCATCTGCAAACTTGCTTATCAGACCATCTATACCTTCCTCCAGATCATTTAAGTATATCACAAACAACAGTGGTCCCAACACGGATCCCTGTGGAACACCACTGGTCACAGTTCTCCATTTTGAGAAACTCCCTTCCACTACAACTGTCTCCTGTTGCCCATCCAGTTCTCTATCCATCTTCCTAGTACACCCTGGACCCCATACGACTTCACTTTCTCCATTAGCCTACCATGGGGAACCTTATCAAACGCCTTACTGAAGTCTATGTATATGACATCTACAGCCCTTCCCTCATCTATTAACTTTGTCACTTCCTCAAAGAATTCTATCAAGTTGGTAAGTCATGACCTTCCCTGCACAAAACCATGCTGCCTATCACTAATAAGCCCATTTTCTTCCACATGTAAATAGATCCTATCCCTCAGTATCTTCTCCAGCAGCTTCCCCACCACTGACATCAGGCTCACCGGTCTATAATTACCTGGATTATCCTTGCTACCCTTCTTAAACAAGGGGACAACATTAGCAATTCTCCAGTCCTCTGGGACCTCACCAGTGCTCAAGGATGCTGCAAAGATATCTGTTAAGGCCCCAGCTATTTCCTCTCTCGCTTCCCTCAGTAATCTGGGATAGATCCCATCCGGATCTGGGGACTTGTCCATCCTAATGCCTTTTAGAACACAACCCCCTCCTTACGCTGACTTGACCTACAGTAATCAAACATCTATCCCTAACCTCAACATCTTTCATGTCCCTCTCCTTGGTAAATACCGATGCAAAGTACTCTTTAAAGAATCTCACTCATTTTCTCTGACTCCTGGCATAACTTCCCTCCTGTGTCCTTGAGTGGGCCAACCCTTTCTCTAGTTACCCTCTTGCTCTTTATGTACGAATAAAAGGCTTTGGGATTTTCCTTAACCCTGTTTGTTAAAGATATTTCATGACCCCTTTTAGCCCTCTTAATGCCTCATTTCAGATTGGTCCTACTTTCCCCGATATTCTTCCAAAGCTTCATCTGTTTTCAGTCGCCTATACCTCATGTATGCTTCCTTTTTCCCCTTTGCTAGTCTCACAATTTTACCTGTCATCCATGGTTCCCTAATCTTGCCCTTCCTAGCCCTCATTTTCACAGGGACATGTCTGTCCTGCACTCTAATCAACCTCTCTTTAAAAGCCTCCCACATATCAAATGTGGATTTACCCACAAACAGCTGCTCCCAATCCACATTCCCCAGCTCCTGCCGAATTTTGCTATAGTTGGCCTTCCCCCAGTTTAGCACACTTCCTTTAGGACCATTCATTTAGAATGGAAAAAGCTCATGACATAAAATGGTTGCTCTTAATATCCCAATTGTAAATACACAAGCCTTTACATAAAGCTACGCTATAAACCGAATCAGTTTAAGTTGTCATCGCTCCTTTAAAATCAGAAGCCCTTATTGGACAGTTATTCTCATTCCTTTACTGAGGATGGAGGTCATCATGGTGGCAGCAGAGCCATGTGCTTAAAGCTTACCCACATCAGTTTAGAACATAAAGGATGGACTTTGAGGGTGGCTTTACTTCGCTAAAAATATTCATTAACTCATGATACTAGCTCAGATTTGGCAGCCAATGGCAAAATGACATTGCCCACCAAATTCTCTTTAACTTTCCTTCAAAGTGGGCAGTTAGCTGGTTCTACCATGCTGTTCTGTTTCAAATTGCTGCACAGCCATGAAACTGAAAAGGAACACTGCTTGCAAACAGCCTAATATTTCCTGTGTGGCATATTCTCTATTGCTCATATTCAATCGCACAACTTTGTGAGAAGCTTCATCTCTTCAGACACAGTGATCCGTGTGGCGTTAGTTTCCTCCTTCCCAACATTGATTGGACTTAAACTAAACTGGTATCCAGATTCTCAGCTGAAGAACAAATAGGGTAACAACCAAAGTTCTCAGATAGCAAATCAGGAATTGAAGACAATGATTATTCTTTCTTCTCATTTTACAGAGAGCAAAATAAATGATTGGCACATAGCTTAATCAAAACTTAAAGCTAAAAATGTGCAAATCATAAATGGAGAAATTATGAAATCTACACCATTTAGAAATCCAGCTACACCTCACTGAAAAATGTGCAACTTCTCAAAGAATTCATAGCAACACAAATAGCACAACATGGAAATCCACTCAATCCAGTGGTTTCTAATTGATTGCAGACTGTGGAAACTTCAAACGCATACCCTTGGGAATGGAATCACCGGTAGCAACTTATGGAATTCTGTGCTTAGCTGCACATAGAGTCATAGCAACATTGAGCTATATAGCATGGAAACAAGACCCTTCAGTCCAACTCATCCATGCCAACCACGTATCCTAAATTAGTCTAGTCCCATTTGCTAGCATTTGGCAATATCTCTCTAAACCCTTCCTATTCATATACCCATCCAGATGTCTTTTAAGTGTTGTAATTGTACCAGCCTCCTCCACTTCCTCTGGCAACTCATTTCACACATGCATCACCCTCTGTGTGAAAAAGTTATCCCTTACGTCCCTTTTAAATCTTATCTCCTCTCACCTTAAATTTATACCCTCTAGTTTTGGACTCCCCCACCCTGGGGAAAAGACCTTGGCTATTCACCCTATTCATGCACCTCATGATTTTATAAACCTATGTAAGGTCACCCCTCTGTCTCCGACACTCCAGGGAAAATAGCCCTAGCCTATTCAACCTCTCCCTACAGCTCAAACACTCCAACCCTGGCAATATTCTTGTGAATCTTTTCTGAACTCTTTCAAGTTTCACAACATCCTTCCTATAGCTGGGAGACCAGAATTGTACGCAGCATTCCAATAGCGGCCTACCCAATGTCCGGTACAGCCACAACATGACCTTCCAACTCCTTTACTTGATGCACTGACTAATAAAGGCAAGCATTCCAAATACCTTCTCCACTATCCTGTTTACCTGGAACTCCACTTTCAAGCAACTATGAACTTGTACTCCAAGATCTCTTTCTTCATCACTGCCCAGGACCTTACCATTAACTGTATAATTTCTGCTCTGATTTACCTTTCCAAAATGCAGCACCTCACATTTATCTATAATAAACTCCATCTGCCACTCCATTGGCTCATCTGATCAAGGTCCCGTTGTATTCTGAGGTAACCTTCTTGGTTATCCACTACACCTCCAATTTTGGTGTCATCTGCAAACTTATTAACCATACCTCCTAAATCCACATCCAAATTATTTATATACATGACAAAAAGCAGTGGACCCAGCACCAGTCTTTTACCTTCAACCCAGTTCTGTATCCAAATGGCGAGTTCTCGTTGTATTCCATGTGATTTAAACTTTGCTAACCAGTCTACCTTGAGAAGCCATGTCAAACATTTTACTGAAGACTATATAGATCACATCCACTGCTCTGCCTTTATCAATCCTCTTCATTACTTCTTCAACAAGA